AAAAACAAACGCTGAACAACCACATGACCACACGTCGACTGGTCGGCTTTGATTGGAGTCTGAGGAGACCTTTAGTAAAAACACTTGCCCACTGTCACAATTTTGAGTCTATGATTAGTTTCCAACAGTTGCAGCCCAGTGAGCTACTACCTTWATCAGTTCCATTCCCTCACTGGTAACCCACAGCACAGGAGTGTTTCTAAAAGCCCCACTACGACTGTCAGTACACACTTCCTCATCAAAACCACATAAGACAGCAAAAGCCACCAAACAATAATAAAACARTGTATTACTTCCAAACCACAGTCTGCTGAGATAACAGCATCATACATGCTGTTTGTATACAGCAGCTTTGTACAAAACTGAACCTAAAATCCTGAATAAACTGAATGCACTTTTGAAGTAAGGACAGTCTAAATCTGCTGTATGCCGTTTATTTCTAGATTTGCTTTTAATTCTAGGTTGCCTTTTAATTTWAAAAACTACTACTGTACACTACAAAGTTATTTAAAGAGTTATAACTGAACAGCAATCTTCTTGTTCAGTTTTAAAAAAAACAGACAAACCTCTATGTAAAGCATATTAAAAGTTGTTCAAATCAAACAGAAGAAAGTAGAGTGCAATTCACACTCCTGTCAGCACAAACATGAAGCAGCCAAAACATCAATGTAGACCTTATTTTGTAGTACACCATAATTAACATGATTCCCCCTTTCAGATAAGATTATGTCTGTGTTTTGGCGAAACAAATGAGAATTCTGGTAAATCTTACCTGTCGAAAACAACTTGCGGGAGCTGGTGTCGATGATGTTTCTTTAAGGTATTCATCCCAACTGAAAGCATCTAAGTAAAAACAGACAAAATACTGGCTGTGATAATGACAAAAAACGAAAAATATCTCTTTATTTACCTCTWTAATAGTTAGAAGAATGGTTCAATATCATTTCTTGCCCTAAGTTAGGTTWTATAAATTTTAGGTTAGTCAAGTTTAGCAACTTGTCCACTCAAAGAGTTGATCTTAATGAGACAGCTTAATTCCTTTTTGATTTTAAGTGCAGGTCATCCACCAAAGTCAGTGCTGCTTTACTTAGTTTTAATAACTGTGGTCCTGATCAGCATAAAAAAAAGATTGAATTCCTTATTAATTCCAACCCATTTCATAGGAATAATCACATCATTAAACTTACAGTGAAGGAAACCTTTGCCACATCAGCTTATCTCACTGAAAACTGTTAAACATACATCTGGTCGTCTAAACTAGAGGTTCCCAAACTTTTTATCTTCTGACCCACAAAATATCCATGGCAAAAACTTGTGACCCCAAATATTACTGGTCTGAGTACACGAACGTCGTTAATAACCCTAAAAACACAGGCTTTTTGACAATCTAAACAGCTTGTACACAAATATAAATACTTATTTTTACTTATT